ATTATTTTTGTGTGAGTGTACCGTCAAATCAGATCTGACTGGTACAGGAGGAGATTGTCCCTCCTTCCCCGGCAGAGCATCTGGTGGATTCAAACCGTGCGTCTCTGGGATTGTAGTTGCAGCTCCTTGCCACTAGGCCACCAGAGCTCCCCTTAATAACAAGATTTTAAGACCCTGGAGGGAGGACTGAGGTTTCTGGGAGAGAAGGACCAGAGGCCACAGACCTGCAGAATCCAAGAAGTCCAGAATGTCAGATTTCCAGAACCTGAAATTCTCCAGAGCTGGAGATGTTGGAGCAGAGCGAGCATGTCCTGGGAGGCAGGGACAGACCCCTCTGTCGCACCCAGGATGCAGATCGAACTTGGCATTCTGGGGGTAAGGACTTTGAATGAAGGGCAGTATCTTCAACTCTGCGGGTCTGGGTCTCTGGCCTCAGGCGTGAGGTCTGCATGGAACTCCTAGACTAAGAGTGAGTCTCCTTGCTGTCTGTGGCCACTGGGGCTACTGGGGATCATGCCCCCCTCTCGTTTCTCACTGGGTAGCTGAGGTTGGAGAGGGTCAGGGTCGCTCGAGGCCATGAGGCATACCTGCAGTGCCAGGGCTGGGATCCAAGCTGCCATCCAGTCAGCCCAGATTCCTGGCTGAGGTTGGGAGTGTTACCGGAGGGAATAGCAGCAGTTAAGGCCCAGGTCAAAGAGGGGGCGCGAGGCCAGGCTCTGCACACTCTGTTCTGCAGTTCACCTTGGCCCTGCTGAGGTCCATGGCTTAAGAGGCAGAACCAGGACTTGGAGCAGGTCCACCTGGCACTAGCACCCCGTCTGCTTCTCCTGCCAGGATGCCGGGCGCTGCCTTTAATGTTTAGTGTGACTTAGACCAGCCTTGTTCTTCATGAGCCTTGTTGACCCCTGAGTAACTTAGAAGTTTCCACGTGGGTCCAACCCCTAGCCCTGGAGATACTCCACATGGTCCCCAGGAAAGAGTGGGAACAGACGTCAGTTCCCCACTTTTCTCGCTCTGTCCTAGGTCCCTGCCATTGCTCGGAGTCCTCTCGGTGCTCGGGACTGCATTCGGGGCCTACAACATGGCCATGGCTGTGATGAGCCCCTGTCCCCTCCTGCAGGGACACTGGGGTGGCAAAGTCCTCATTGTAAGTATCTGCTGGGGGCTGTTGCTCTCCCCTCCCCTGTCAATCCCTCACTTTGAGCCAATGCCTCACCACCACCCCCAACCCCATGCAGCCCTTTCTGTTGACAATCCCTCTGGATTCATATGGGAATTAGGGCTTAGAGGTGAGGTTCAAGGTCATAGCCCAGCCTCTCTGAATCCTGCACTGTTCCCGCCTGTGTGTCAGCAGTGCCTTCTCTCACAGGAGCCAGAAAAGCCACTGGGCTCTTGGTGGAAGCCAACTCATAGGTGCCCTTTGCCCAACTTGGTCACCTTTGACGCTCTGTACTTAGAGGTCATTCCATTCCCTTAGCCTTGCCGGTCATCCTTGCTGGTCATCCTTGGAGTCACCCCACCAGCCCCCCTAACTCTGCATCTCTTGGCCTCCTTCTCCACAGGTGGCCTCCTGGGTGTTGTTCACCGGCTGTCTGAGCTACGTCAAGGCCATGTTGGGCATGATCCTGCGGGACCGAAGCCGCAGCGCCCTCCTGTGGTGTGGGGCGACCGTCCAGCTGGGCTCTCTGGTGGGAGCACTGCTCATGTTCCCGCTGGTCAATGTGTTGAAGCTCTTCTCCTCTGCTGACTTCTGCAGCCTGCAGTGTCCTGCCTAGGCCAACCGGTGGCACACAGACGAGCATGAGGCACCATCCTTGCCCCGGTTATTAACACCTGGAAAGTGACACCCAGAGAGGCAGGGGGTGTACCGAGGTCACAGAGCAAGGGGTCAGGGAGTGAAGAGGTAAAAGCAAAGTACTTGAACCACCCACACTCCACTGGGTGAGCAACAGGCCTCCCAGAAAGGCAAAGCACGTCCCTACCCAACTCGGTGTCCCAGAGCCTGCGATGCCACTTCCTGAGCTTCATTCCCTGGCCCCTTGACATAACAGATTGTAGTGTGAAGTTGCCGTCAGGCCCACGGAGAAGGCAGATTAGAAGGAAGAGCACAGCCTGTGGTTTTGGGGAAGTCATTTCACTGTTACTCTCCTTCTACATCTATATGATGGGACTGTAACGAACAGTACCTACTCTGGTGGCCTAGTGGCAAAAAGATGCACTGAAATCCCAAAGGCACACGGTTCAAATCCCACCAGCTGCTCCATGGGAGAAGGATGAACAATTTCCTTCCATATGATTAACTGCCTCTGAAAACCCACGGGAGGGTCAGCTCCTACTCAACAATACACAACAACAACTTGATACTGGCAGGCAAAAACAGCCAGGGGCTACCTGTGCAACAGGCCATCAAATATTCATGTACAAGTTCAAATTGAAGCTGAAATAAAATGAAAATGAATCCACAAGGACCAAAATACAACCTTAGATCTATCCCAGGACATCACCCATGCAGAAAGCAAAACTTGTTACAAAGACAGAGGACAAAGAAAAGACAAAATGAATGTTGTAAGAGACTCTGAAATTAGCACTAGTGCCTAAGGAAAAATGCTGAAGAGAGCCGAAAGGGCAGCTCAAGAAGTCAAAGATAAGGAAGGCAGAAGAATTGATCCCTTTGAGTTGTGGTATTGGAGAAGACTACCGAATGCCCCACGGACTACAGAAAAACCGTTAGATCAGTCTTGGAGGAACTGCAACCAGGAAGCTCTTTAGAGGCAAGGAAACTTGCCTTGTGTACTTTGGTCACGTATCAGGAGGCAACAGTCTGTGAAAAAAGAGATCATGCCAGGAAAGGTAGAGGGTCCGAGAAGGAGAAAAAGAGCGTCAATCAGACAGATTAAAACTGTGACTGGGTTCCAGTGTATCTGAGATCTTGAAGATGGTACAGGATAGGACAAGGTTCTGATCTGTTGTTCACAGGGTCACTGTGAGTTAGAGTTGACTTGATCGCACCTAACAACAACCAGCACCTCAAAGGCTTGTCACAAAATGAAAGTGGCCCCAGAATGTAATAAGCCCTCTCAGGTCATTTCCTCATGTGGTGTCCAACAGTAAGAGTGGCACTTAACACAACCTAGAGTTGCCCCAAGGGATTGGCATGATCAATCCTTGCCTGGTGTCCTTCCTCCCAATCTCCTCCTACAGGCACTTCTTTCTAGGGGACAGATAACAGTGGGGTCTGTCATCAAAGCTTCCAGAGCCGCATGTGGAAGGGCACGCTTCTGTCTCCTCCTGGCCCCTCAAGGCCTGCTCCTTGGAGAGTAAGTGGTCTCCTGAGAGGTACGGACAAATGACTTAGGAGATTCTACCTTCTGAAGGGGAGCTTCCCATTAGGTAGGGGCCTAGCCTTGAGTGAGACCCCTTGGAAACTCGTGATCTGAATTCTCAAGAGGGTCCAAATCAGTGAAGTGGGTACAGATATGCTCTTTAAATCTATTTATACAAATATTTTTAGGTGCCGTTAAGTTGGTTCCAACCCATAGCGGCTCTACATACAACAGAGCAAAACATTACCCGGCCCTGTGCCGTTTTCACAATCGTTATTGTGTTAAAAGAGATATATGTCAAGGAAATGACTCCCACAATTGTGAAGGTTAACAAGTCCCAGATTCATCAGGCTGGAGGCTTCTTACAGGGTGGTGTGGGCTGATGAGCCCCAAACCGGTAAGTCAGACGGCAGGCTGCTGGCTCGTGTCCCAAGAATTGGCAACCACAAGAGGACATGTCAGATGAAGGATCGAGAGAAGGCAAGCTGCCTGACCATCGGTCTATATAGGATGCAGGCCACGCCCCAAAAGAAGCTCCCTTTCCCATTGATTATTCACGTCATAAAATAGAAGATAATTACATGGTTCCAGCCACACCACTGATGACCAAGCCAAAGTTGACACCTTAATGGTCACAAACAATTCTCTTGATTGGAGGTGGAAAGGGGCTTATTGTTCACATAATTGTTTTGTCTTACTTTTTGCTCAGTTTTTGTTTATTTGTTTTATAAATAAAGTCATTCCTTGCTTTTATACTTCGATCAGCCTTCAAAAGAGAAGTCCAATTCCAATGTGAACCACCAAAATCTATCCGTATAACCTGTTTTGAATCAATTCTAATCTAAGGTCAAGATAAGCTCCAAAATAATAGAACTAAGTACTTAGAGAATGCCAAGTCCTAGAATTCATCTTCTCACATCATCTGGTTCCCTAACTTGCTGTCACCTTCCTTCTTTAATGTGTTGTTTTGAATAAGAAATGCTTCAAATATCAGCAACTGAAATGAATGTACCACGAAAAGGTCCTGGCCCTTCCCCTCCCCTTACATTCCCAGCTCCTCTCACCACATTATGTGTAATCCAGAGATGATATGCACAAGTGAAAATGCAGAGTTCTCATTAAGGGAGCTCTGATGGCCTACTGGCAAGAAGCTGTGCTGCAATCCTGAAGGTGCACGGTTTGAATCCACCAGATGCTCCACTGAAGAAGGAGGAGCATTCTCTCCTGTGCCACTTGATCCGATTTGATGGTATACAAAAAAGGCCAGGGGGGTGGGGAGGACACTATTGGGTGCTTTTCACTTTTCATGCAGTGAAATCAGAGAGAGTCCCTGACTTGGTTGGGTTGCACTATGTGCAAGTGCTATAACTGAATTGTTCCTCTGTTAAAAAAGGTCCCAATGGAGCTCTAAGAGTTTGCACTTGACCACTAACTAACCTGTGAAAGAGTTCTGGTAGCCTAGTGTTAAGGAGGTTGCTGCCAACCCAAAGGCACACAGTTGCTTTGTGGGACAAAGATGAGCAATCTCCTCCCATGCTGTTCATCGCCTCTGAAAATCCCCTGGAACATCAGTTATGAGTCATGCCGACTCAATGCCACACAGTAACAACTAACACAAAGGTTGGCTCTTTGAGCCCTTTTAGGGAGGGCATTTTAGGGGTACCTTAGGGGAGCTCTGGCATAGTCCATAGCTACTTGCTCTGCTAACCTGAAGCCTGAATGTTTCAGGTGGTTTAAGTCCAATCCTCTGGTTGTGATTTACAGCCTTAGAAACCTGACGAGAGGTCTCTGTGAGTTAACCCTACTCCACACAGTGAGTGAGTGAGTGAGAGGCAGAGTCCTGGCAACCCTCCCCATTAAAGATCACGCCTAAGGAAGTCCTGTGCAGCAGTCTGCTCTGTGGCACTCGGGGTCCCCTGGAGCCAGAGTAGACTCACTGGCAACTTGTTTGGTTTGGTTTCTGTAGAAAACACCTGAAGGACTTGCACAGCTAAAAGTAAAATCTGCCATCCCAGAAAACCTTTCCACAAGTGTAGAAGAGAAAGAAAAGTCTTCTATTACTAAAGACATGTGAGAAGGAGACAGTGCACCTATCACAGGCAATCTCTAAAGAGACTGCAAACCAGGAATCTCACCCTCTTAAATACCAGGCTTGTATAAGCTATCATACACATGTTCCCAAGCATAGTCCCCAGCTAAGAGCCCGGGCAGCACCATTTGTCATGCATGGTTCACTCTGACCTCCCCTGCTGAGTGGGGTGACCATCTGTTAGCCAGCCCTCTCTACCCGAGGAAAAATTAACTTGTGTCTTTATAACAGCAAGTAGTTTTACAGTATGGAGCCAGGCAAGCATGTTAAGTTCACACCAACACTGGAAGAATAGAGGTACGATCTTCCTAGACAAGGGGCCCCAATGGCACAGTGGTTAAGTGCTCAAATATTAGCCTAAAGGTCAATGGTTCAAACTCAATATCATTCATAGGAAAAAAAAGATGTTACTGGAAAACCAAACCCAATCTCAGAGACGGGTTGGAGTAGAGAAAGCAGAAATTCCATTACATATATTAGCATATAAAAATTGGGGAGGAGTGTCCTAAATCTGTCTCTACAAAGAAAGGTCCTGAGGGGATATTTGTAGGCTGGATTAGGAGTATGGGGGAGAACTCATGTTTATTAAGTGCTCTGGGGTAGAAGAGATAGAAATTGTCAATTATTTCAACCTGCTTAGATCCTCAATCAACACCCTTGGCACCAACAGCCAGGATATCAAGATGTATTACATTGGGAAAATCTGCTGTCTGGGACTTCTCTAAAGTGCAGAAGAGCAATTATGTCAGTCTGAAGACTAAGGTGCAGCACCTGATCCAAATCATGATCTTCTTTTCAATTACTTGCTATGTATCTGAAAGCTGGACAATGAATAAGGTTGACAGAGAAGAATTAATGCTTTTGAGCTGCCGTATTGGAGAAGAGTACTGAATAGCCCAAGGACTGTCAAAGGAATTTTTTTTTAAGGTGTAGCCAGGGTGCTCCTTGGAGGCAAGTAGAGTGAAATTTCATCTCACGTACTTTGGGCATGTTGTTAGAAGAGGCTGGTCCTTGCAAAAGGGCATCATGCTTGGAAAAGAGGGGGGTCAACAAAAGAGGGGAAGACTCTCAAGAAGATGGATTAGCACAGTGACTGGCACAGGGGGCTCAGTGTGTCAAGATGATGACAAGGTGCAGGATAGGGCAGGGTTCAGACAGGGTCACTGTGCCTCACAGTTTACTCAACTGCACTTAACACCTGGTGATATACATCGTCCATGTGGAGTTGTGCTGCTAACCCAAAGGCCTTTTTCTTTTTTAACTTTTTGGGGTTTTTTGTTTGGTTTTGGTGGAGATTGTTTGTTTGTTTTTTGTTTGTTTTCCTTGTCGTGTACTGTCAAATCTGATCCAACTGGCACAAGAG